TCATCGTATATCGTACGGTCAATTTTTGTAGATACTATTTATATTTAATTTTAAATTTTAAATTGTAGAATGATTTCTGACCGTACGATATACAATGAACGGTCACGATCATGGAATCCCTAGGAAAATGATCCTCACCGGATCCTTTTCCTTTTGAGAGATTATATTTACACATCCCAAATTACTTTTCTCACACATTTTTAATTTGTTAATATTTTCTACACATCACTAACACTTTATAGAAAAATATTAAAAAATTAAAAAAGTGTGGAAGAAATAATTTGAAATATGTGAATATAATCTTCCCTTCCTTTTTCTTGTAGTGATCATTAATGTACCCAAACCTGCGGCTTCATAAAATCCATTAGGTTTAGGTTTTGGGTGCTTCATGATGTTAATTTAGACTATATAGTGTGTAATGTACATAATGCAATACGATTTATTTCAAGTTCATTAATCAAAGAAATGATATTATCTCTAAGACACCGATGTGAAAGGGAAAGCATGAAAATGAAATTTTCGTGGATAGATTATATATATATATATATATTTATTTATTTATAGTATCTGAAAAAATATATAAGCCATCCAAGTCCAAGAGAAAGCCAGTTTGTTAGACAAAGTTACAAAACAGAATTGATAGATTTCCATACGTATACGTGTCTGGTCCAAATATTTGTTGGTTAGTGGAAGATTTTTGGGTCCAGACTTTATTGAGGGACTCCCATACTTTTAAACGTGATGGATGTTGATGGCATTCAACAAACTAGAAAATTCTTACATGCAACGTGTTATTTTTCATTGTTCTAAAACGATGAATTTGTCACAAATCCTCCAGGTGTGGCACATTTCGACATATGTTTTTAGCAAGCTAAATATGTTTACCAATGTTTTAGCTAATCTAAAAACGTTATAAGATTATAATCTTTAATTTTGTTATAATTATTACCTGTCTCAAAGTGTGTTGTATACGAATAAGAACTTTGAGATATCCCAATCGGTTGCTCTACATAAATTTATGGTCATAAAGCAACAGCCTTTTTTTTTTTTTTTTTAACAAACAATATTATCTACACTAAATAGGAGGGAAGTGCGCTTAGCCTAGCTAGCAATAATGTGAAACCTTTTCTTGTTATAAACAAATCAAAGTATAGCATATATACAAAAACTTATTTGTTTATGTGTATTTATATAACCTACTTACATATATGTGATACTGACTAATTAACTTTTGACATTTTTATAGTAGTTATTGTCATTCAATCGGAGGATGTATGAAGTTTAACTCATATAATTGTAAATACAATACAGATTGTTATGTCCTCGATAACTAATAGTGACAATCTTATTAGCAATGATATGTATGTTAAACTGCGATTCAACAGATAATAAATATTGAGTTGTTGACGCATCTCTTTTTTATTTTCTTTTTTATCGATGGATGCATCTGTCTCTTACTTTTTTTTCTGGACAGTCATCTCTCTCTTATTGTCTGGATTTTGTTTCTAAATGTTAACGTATGTATTTCTTTATGGATTACAAAAATGTTAGATGTTGAGCATATTTCTAAGAAGTTAGGCATATGCTTTGAAGATGCCATGAAAAGGTTGAAAGCTTGATGAGTTGATGCAATTGACATGCTGCATGTAGTGCCACATAGTTTAGTCTGTAATTTCCTCTCTTATCCTTCAAAAAGTTTTTCATTATGACAAGAATATAAATAGTACACCACATGTTTTTATGTAAGTGGTGGAAAATGTTATTTTTTAGTTATTAACTTTTTAACACATATATTTCATTATTTGTATAATGACACATAATGTACCACCTTATGTACCGGTCACACAGAAAAATCTCTCTACTTCAAAACAACGAGATCAGATAAGTCAGTGAACGCATGCATGAACAAAAGTGTCCAAAGTTGGACATTATTAAAGGACTTTTCTTTAAAGTTCTTTTGTTCTGATTCAAGGAATGGGACCATGAAGACTTTCGATCTTTGTTTCCATAGCGAACGACATCTCACGTTTCAAATTTTACCTACTCAAAGGCACATGCCTTAACGAGGGATTTCTATTTTGTTTTTTTTCTAAATGAGGATTAGTTATGGAGCTCACAATATATCGAATTTCAATGATCTGTACCGTTTATTTTATAAGTTTTAATTCATAGATCATCTTTACAAAAATTTAATTGAATTTGAAACTATTTGCCTATTTAATTGTTAAAATGAAATTTCATATGCTTCTTAGAATATATAGTGTTCGTCAATTGTTTTTTTACTCAATTAGATGCCTCATATATTTTTAATTTAGCTAATATTTTACAAAAATGATCTATCAGATGCAACTTAAAAAATAAACAGTTTGAATCGTTGTAGTTGAATGTAATATGAGCATAGGCTAGATAATCAAGTAATTCTAAAATAAGGAAGAAATAAAGCCTTAATTTGGAAATAAGGCAAGTGAATTTGTTTTTTCCTGCGTCCGCACGTAATAATTCATGCAGATATTTAGTCATGCATACATTTTTGTTATACAACAATATCTGGGACGAAAGCCTGACAGAGTTACACAAATGGGCTGAGAAGAGTTTGGTTTCGAACTCGCAATTTATGAGAATCAAACTTATGGTTTCTTACTTAAAAATAGAGATAAATACTATTAAACCGTAATACAAGAATTCATACATACATTCTTAGTTAACACAAAATTAATGATTGAAGTCCATTTAGGTGTAGAATAGACTTCAAACTAATTTCATGAAAAAGTGTTCTTTCAGAGAGTCAAATTTTGTCTTCAGGAAACAGAAAACGACAATCAATTTGCTCATGAGCTCAAAAATCCAAAGGAAGAAAGAGGCCACATAGAAGAGGAAACACCCAGGACGACTTGGAATTATACCAAACGAAGACGATGCGTCTATCTAATCCACAACTTTCTCCTTTTTGGCTTGCGGGCTTGCAGCAACAACTCAATGATCTGGTCCCTGGACAGGCTATGGGACAATTTACACTTTGATACAATTTGTATTTACAGTTACCCCCTTTTGCCTTTTTCTTTTTTACCACAACAAGTCTATATTTAGGTAAGAGTCATGTTGGCGCCAAATAATTGCTTAGCCATTTTCCCGGTTTATAAACTCAATATCCTTTTTGCCCTAAACCACCTTTTCCCCTCAGCTTCTCTTCCAGTTCCAAAAGGATGCTAGAATCACATAAAGGAGTAATGGCACCAAATGAAACCCTCCAGCCCACATGGGATTAACCACTCAGACTTGTTCTCCAACCAAACCCTCGCTCGTTTTATACCACAGACTAGAGTGTGTGTAAAATCAATGCTAAGAAGAAAGCATCCTTGCAAAACAATGCCGAATGTTGTGCCAATTTGATGGTAAATCGAAAACCAATTCATTGCCCACTTTTAGCTTTCTCTTTCGTTTGGGTCTAGTGGCCTATATCACCCTCTTTTTACTTATGGCTTGATTGAGATTACTTCTATAAAAGCCAAAAGCGTTTATGCTGTGATTGGCAAGAAAAAATTAGAAATGATTTTGGCTCGTAATAGCGTTTTTTAGAGAAACACTTATCATATGCTTCTTCAAGACGCACTTTTAAGTGCTTTTTCAATGTAACAGTTTGGATTTTCAATATAAAAAAAAAAAATCAAAGTTTTTACAACAAAAGCAGTTATAGTATAAGTGCCTTTTGAAGAAAGTAATCAAACGAATCATTAATCACATGATGAGAGAGATACAGCGGTATATCCCGGCAGTGTGTTAATGCCAAGAAGGGTGGGGGGAAGCTCTAGCTCTAGGAGCATAGGATTATGGGTTAGAAGCATTCATTGAAGAGGCAATGGTCTTTGCAATAATTGAGATAGAGTTCAAAGGCCATGTGATGTAATCGGCAGCCCACTAGCTACTTCTTAGCATTGGGAGGGACGATATAGCATAAGCCTCAGTCCTTCACTGTAGTCCAAAAAGGAAAGATTCGGATCAAATTTCTAACACCAAAAGACATGACACCATGCATTGTCTATTCTCATCATGCACTGTCTTTGCTCTTCTATAACTCTACAGGCAGTGCAACCTACAATAAAAGACAAATTAAATAGGGTAGTGATCTTAACATTCTCGTTTTCTCCTCCTGCATTCACGTTCACCTTTTGTTTCTTTCGTTTAATTCTCCTTTGATTTATCCAACCCTAAATACAAGGAGAGAGTGCATCTCCATCAGTAATTCGGCGATCAAATGTGGAACATTTCACCACTTTGATTAGGGTTTCATTCGTTTTCTCCTTATGCATTCACCTTTTGTTCTTTTAATTGATGCTCCTTTAATTTATCCAACCCTAAACCTAAGAAAAAAGGGAGTTGTACGAGAAAAAAAAGAGTGGGGAAATCACTTCCCATACAATATCTATAACGGAAGCCTGCAAATCATGCTAAAAAAAGCCCTAGTTTTCAAGGGGATTGTGCCTCAGCAGCTAGCCACTTCTATAAGACAAGCATTTCTAGTTCTATAACCCAACTCTTGGCCCATTAGGATTGCAACATCCAGATTGCTTCCAACTACTCTTGGATGGCGGCAGTTCATTTCATGTTGCACTTAAATGCTTAAGCCACCTAATTTGGTGATCAAATGTGGAAGATTTCACCCCTTTGATTAGGGTTTTATTCTTCTTCATATGTATCTCCATCCCCAAGAATGATTCCCGCTTCTAAATATGGAGAGCAACTTTCATGGGACACGTACAACACAATGCCTAGTGCTAATGACGCAGTGCCATTTGAAGTCTCCACAACACATTGGGACATTGGAACGGGACACTATGGTGGCAAGATACTCCGGCCATGGAAGTCCTCCAGAATATGGAAACAATCTGTATGGAAACTATCTCTACTAATTTTGCGGTGGTCTATACATGGTATAATGTCAAAGAGAAGAAGATATTCAGAATTAAAAACATTCCTTCGGTAAATTTCGTAGACCATGGAAATGCAAAATCAGATCTCCGTTAAATATAACTACTTTAAAACTGTCTGGATTCAGTACTGGAAACAACAGCGTGCATTACAAGTGCTTACAGTTAGTGTGTGCCCAAGCCTGAGCAATTAACATTGTATATTCTGGGTACAATGTGGTTACCACTACAGAAAGGAGCATATATATGGAATGTATAAGAGCTAATATAATCTTGATTACGTCAACGCAGACGTTTCTCATTACCTAATGCCTATCACCTCTTGTTACGTCCAGGTCCAGACCTGGGACCTGGGAACCGAGAAAACTGCAGCCGCAAGTAATTAGAATCTGGAGCGTGTTCATCCATTTCATAACCTGCGAATGCAAACACAAATGTCAGCATCTACCAGCATTTCAAAAACCACTAGCATGGGAATTATAATGAGCAACGCAAGCTAGTTCTACAGGTTCTAGAGCGCAGAGGTATCATAAACTCCACTCTTAAATTACAAGAAACCATCTATAACATTTTTGTGAACTGCCTCATCCTCTTTACACCTGCTATGCATGAAGAATTCTAGCATAAATTTACCATTTACATGATTGAATAAGGTACCATTGAAATAGCAGTTACGAAGTTATAAAGGAAACAAATAAAAGCAAAACGAAGAAACAAGCTTTCTTTGAAACTGATAGCCACCAAGGTTGATGACAAGAAAAAGCAATCACCTTGCAAGGCACTCATAGCAGTTGCTGCACAGGCTGGATTTTCAAAATCCACAAAACAAAGAATAAGAGGGTCCCCACCACGCTGCATTACGGACAAACCGGAATATTAGTGTGAAGACAGATTATAAACTTCCCGAAAGTCAAACCAAGTAGCACAACAAGAATCTCAAGTCAGAGTGAACAATAAAAACAGAATGACCAAGAATCTCAAGTCAGAGTGAACAATAAAAACAGAATGACCAAGAAAAGTAATTGTTTACAATAATCCTCCCCCACATACGTGTTTGGACTCTTTGCTCACAAGCCTCACTGCTTTGTATCCCACAAAAGGACGAAAGATATCTTGGAGTAATGTAAAGGATGAGCGATGGAAAATTTATTGAGTTAAGCAATAAGATTGGAAACAGCAAAATGCAATAACTCTTAAGCATAATAGAAAGATCATAAAGGATACGAGCTACTTCCCTCCTTGTGCTGTCAGGAGGAAGTCCTTCAACATATAAAGTGCTGGATGCATCCAGAGGTAAAGGAACTGTTTCACGTCCAGGCCTAGCCGTTGCATCTACTGGGAGCTGATTAGCAAGATTCATATTTCGACCATTTGTTAGTAGATCAGAAGACATAGCTCCAGGACGACCCCTCATAGAATGATCAGCCATTGGAGGACCTGACATTCCACCACCAACAGCCCTTCCCATTCCAGCTCCACCAAAAGTACTCACTTCTCCAGAAGCGAACGAAGGCATTTCCTTTAAAAGAAAGTAGGATAATGTTTTAGTACAAAAACAGGGAGCTGTATCACAATGAATAATAAGCATAGTTTCAAATGCTTAAGAAAGTCACCGCATTCTGAAGATAGCGGTCATATGCTGATCCGATTGATCTGCTATCCTTTACAGTCCTAGGACCGCCAATATCATCCTCTCGTGCAAAATAACCATGCATCTCTTGACCTGAAGAGAGGTAGACAATACAGAAAAGTAAGGACCTGTGTGGTGATGTTTTCCAAAACCATCTGCACAAAATGTTTTCAAAAAATGAAAACAAGATAATATTTTTGCATTTTAACATTACAGAATGCATCTGGTAGAATAGTTTGAAAACTGTTTCTTAAAACGAAAACAATGAAAATGAATTTATTGTTAGTATGAGAAAATATTGAATTACAGAATTTGCAATTAAGCAGCAATATTTGAAAATTAGCTTCAGCTAAGTATTATAACCAAACACATAACTAATGTTAATGCATTTTGATAAGACATGCCGATGAACCAAACATTTATTGTGAGTTAGTGCCCTTTTAAATGGCACAAAGTGAAATTGACTTATCCCATGGACGTAGCAAATCTAACCAAAACCATTGTGATTTAGAGCCTTTTAACTGGAACATTCATATCAATCAAACATCCAACACCAAATATACATCCAACACAAGTACAGTATAACCACTCCAGATTTATAAATAAAATAAAGTAATATAAAGCATCACCAAAAAGAGAGATAAAGAAACAGATACAAGTACAGTATAACCATTCCGACACCAATAAGAAACTGATACAATAAAATAAAGCAACATCAAACATCCAACATCAGCTCTATATCCTATACAAGTAGCATCTTCCATATCTCCATTTTACAAGTTCAATAAAGTTCTTGTCGACTCCATTTAACTTGAAATGATACCAAATTCTATCATTCAAATTTATCACATAAGACTTATTCACGTCAAACTTATTATCCAGTACCAAATGTTTTCACATCTGAGACAGAGATGACAACATTGAGAAGGGAGAGAGAGGGAGAGAGAGAGGGAAGAGGGGGGGGGGGATGTTGAAGAAGAAGAGGGTCCACATATTGGTTTCGAAGAATGGCTCTCAGACAGGCTTTGGGAGTGGGGCTGGAGTGCAGGTTTTTAGGGTGTAGAGAGAGTGTGAGAGACGAGATGCAAAGGAGAAAGAAAAGCAGAGAGAGGCGACAAACGTGAAAAGTGAGGGCCAACAACAGATGCTCTGAGGAAGACTGAGATACTCATTCCAGTTGAAAGGTTCCTTTCTGTGTTTCTAACTATTTACCATGTTTCACTTTTCCCCTGAAAACATAATAAATTGGGGAAAAGTTGTTTCCTAACGCGAAAAATAAAAGTTGAGATCCTTTTCAGAATACATTTCTGATGTTTGACAAACTTAATGCACGGAACGCATATTTTACCCTTTATGAAAAAGGCAAGACACTTAGAAAACATTAACAAACAGACATAATTCAGCTGTAAATATTACAACTATTGAACAAGAGAAAAGGCATAAAAGAGGAAATGAAAGAACATAAATCAAGAAACCAATTGAGAAGCAATAGGGGATACCCCATCTAGCAGTTAACAAACAAGGTGGTGATGAACTAGTAAAACTGCTTGCAAGGTTCAAAAGTACAAAGAAAACATACCAATTGAAACATCTACATAAAACTATACAAGGCTATGCTTTTGATCAGTGACTACGAAGTTATAACAAGAACAATTCAACAGACAAAAAACTAAACGAATAAAAAAGGGGATTTGGTTATCAAAATTTATATCAATAATATGCATCATAAATATGCAAGGAGAATCTTATTACCATCATTATTGAAAAATAGCATTAGATTGGAGGACTGGCCGCACTTAAAGGAAGAAGCTACTTGATATCACTTCAGAGGTTTGGGATTTGGTTGGGTTGGGGAAAATACCCATTCTTAAGTACCGTGTAATGTAGTACTTTTCATTTTGCACAAAGGTCTCAACAACCACACTGAACCAGGTTTTGTTGGTTTCAGCTTATTCAGTACGGACTGAAAGAAACATAAGAGCGACAAACTGTGATTTGGTTACAAAGAAAATAACAACAAAAATCATCTGCTAGTAAGGCTTTCTTGAAAGATACATTAAGATATGGAATCATACAAGTATGACTGTTGACCCCGATTGTACCAAGTGCAACAAAAAGGCTAAACTATATTATATGCTTCATGAAGAACCTGAAGATGTAAGAAAATAAACAGAAGCAAACATTTTTCATTTTGTTTTCAAAAAAAGAAAAGAAAAGAAAGGCACCTAGCTACAAAACCAGAATCTGCATATCTGCAGGAATAATTGGCGATAAAAACAAGCAGAGTCATCAGACAACCGAACTGGAATCTTTGTCAACGATAGATACTCTTCACACAAAATTCACCATTTTGAACATAATTTTACAGTGAAACCCGAAAACCCATCAAGAACTACTACAGTAAAAACACTTATAGCACAAAAATCAGACTTCGAGCTAAGTTCGCTTGAGCAGTGTGCTCCCTCTTTACAACCAAGTTCGAATCCTCCACTTCCCATAGTTTCGATTAGATTATAATATCGCTCGAATAAAACACAAAAAAGATCACAAATTTAAATTGTTTGACAACTAAATCTATAATGCAAAAGAATCCAATCACAGTTTCATCCAATTAAAGAAAATAACTATGAGACACGGCCACAGAGGACGAACCGTAGTCAGAACGAGGTCGTTTATGCACGCCGCCAGAGGGACCCAGTTGATGCTGCGGCTGCTGCTGCTGCTGCTGCTGCTGCTGCCGGTTCCATAGGCCGTCCCCCATTTCAGTTTTCCTGCAAATTTCCAAATTTCAGCAAAAAAATTAAGCAATTATAACTAAAAATTTGATAAAAGTCCTAACTTGATTGAACCTTTTCGGCGATTCGAATTCGCGAAACCCTAATTTGATCAAGCTTTTTCCCGCAACAGCTTCAGCTTCTGTGCTTTTTTAAAATTTTTATTTATTTATTTTCAGTGACCTGCTTTGCTCCAGCGAGTGGATTTTGACGTCGATACTCGCCGACGACTCTGATCGCGTGTTTATTCTTTTAGAGTAGTTTTACTGCGGGAGGCCTCATTGGATCCCTTCGACAGTTTAGCAGGGATTTTGCCACGTGGATCATGAGTACACTTGGACCGGCCAGATTGCTTTGCCAAGTTAAGGAGCGAGTCAAATTGCACTCATGCTCCCGTTGGTTTAATCGGACAGTAAACTCCGTTATTTCAATCCGTCAAATGAGACAAAGGCTGCTCATTTTTTTGGGGCAATAAAGAAAGGCTTACCATCTAGGAATATTATTATTCATTAATAAATGAGAGGTCTTAAGTATAATTCTCATTAAAGATGAATTTGAATCATATTATTATTAACTCATTGTGAGGCTAAACCTCATCTCCTTCCGCCTTAATGTAGATAATATCGTTTGTTAAAAAAAAAAAAAAAAAAAAAAAAAAAAAAAGGAAACCTGATGCTCAAGTTTATTTTCTACTCAAGTAAATTGTCGCATAACGTTCCATGTCAATGGGTCATAAGATTTAAAATTTTCACACTACACCTTGAGATTTTAGAACTGTATCAATTATGTTTTTTGTCTAACAAATGTTTTGAGTCCTTAAATTGATGACATTGTAAGCGTGGAACACATAATTGGGTTGACATATATAGCTACATTTGTACCAAATTAACCCAAAAACTCGTCAATTTAATGGATAATTAGACGTTCAAATAGACAAAAGGTGTAAATGTGCAGCTTGAAAAAATGGAAACCTCATGACCCATTTTGAAAAACACTTCAAACCTAAATGGTGTAAAATGTAAGTAACCCTAAAGTTTGCATCACTTCATTTATTTATTTATTTTGTAAATGGTACATTTCATACTAACCAAAACAAGTACAACAAAGCCCATTACAAGTTAAGCACAAAAAAGAAAATGGGCCACAACCACACATAAGAAAACAGCCCAAGAACCTTAGAGCCCATCACACACAAACAAACTACATAGAAAAACCCTAGAAATGCCACCATTTGAAATCAGCACAACTGTTCGCCTCCCACCACGATCACTAGGGATCACACCATGAAGAAACCCGAAATTGGAGAAGAAAGAGGCCACATCATCCACCATGGACCAACACAAGGATTGCCACCACGAGACTAAGGAAGCACGTAGGTGTAAACCCACGAGAAATATCGCCGACAAGGGCGAACAGCGAGAAGGGCCAACAATGGTGATGGTGGGAACACCTGAACTAAAGCTCTACACATTCTCCCATAGATCCGCGACAAATTGCGATACATAGAGGCAGTAACCGATCAGAGATTATGGAGCCAAAAGAAAAATATGATGGGGGCTTGGGTCAAGGAAGGAAACGGGTGTTTGGAAAAAGAGCTCAGAATGGTGAGAACAAAAGCAAAAGTAGGAAATGAAGGGAGAGATGATGAAGATTGTAAGGAAGGGGTGGGAAAATTGTAGACATCAGGAAGAGCTAGATAAAACTGAAAACAAACTAACCACAAAAACAAACTGCACAGTAAACCATCAGGAATAGCTAGATCAATGAGAAGAAAACCTCACATGCCGGTGAGAAAGATTTTCACAGGGGAAAGAAAAGCTCTCACATAGTTCCACTTCATTCTATACATTGATAGACTTATCACCTAAATTAAAGAAACCATACACCACCTAATTTGTATGCACGGTGAAGTCTGAAATTTACTTGTTATTCATTTTGTACGTATCAGATTGTAACATAGTACATGAAGATAAATTGTTACTCCAAACCAAAGCAAACAATAAAACCAACGCTGCAACAAAAATTACACAGAAGCTAGCTAGTTTCCAAATCAGTTAACTGCAAGGCTTAGTCAGGAAACGGAACTAGAAATGGAGGCAAAACTTGGCGGGTTTGGTATCTTTACCATCCCTTCCAGCATCAGTACGATCTTCTTCATCGAAGGGCGAAATGCTAGCTCATCTTGGATGCACCAAAGTCCTATCTTAACCATCTTCTGAAGTTCATTCTTGTCGACATCTTCATCCTTTACTAGCTTATCCAGTTCGTCGACTTCCAAACAATGGTATAACCAATTCTCAAGGATAACTTGATCCTCATATGTCCATATTCACACATCTTCTGTAGCATATAATCTCTAATAACACAACCCCGAAGTTGTATACGTCTGTTTTCACTGTTATGGGAACGTTTCTATGCCACTTAGGTGCAACATAACCTCGTGCTCCTCTTAACCTGGTATATGTCCTAGTTTGGTCGCAGCTTGGCAAAACCAAAATCAGCAAGCTTTGCACATTTTTGGTCACTCATTAGTATATTTTCCGGCTTGATGTCACAGTGGATGATCTGTGTGTCATACTCTTCGTGTAAATAAAGTATGCCTTGAGCTACATTAAGACATATGCCAATATTTTCCTTCCAAGTTGGTCTTCTATCCGATTGAAAAAGGAAATCTACAAGTGAGCCATTGGTCATGTACTCGTAAACTAGAAGCGTTTTTGATCCCTTGTGACGGTCCCTCGTGACAGTAGCCAAGCAATTTAACCAGATTTTTGTGATGTGTCATTCCGATTGCATTCATCTCATTTCGAAATTCCCGGTCTCCTTGATCCGCCATTTTCTCTAGTTTCTTGATGGCCACTACTCTCCCACCATTTGATGGTATGACCCCTTTATAAATTGTCCCAAAGGCTCATTTGCCCACTTGATCACTAAAACCTTTGGTTGCCTTTTCAAGCTCACAATATGATCGCAGCGCGACATCTTCAACAAACCCGCCATTTTCTGAATTCGGAATCTTTTTGTAATCCGCAACACAATATCTATAAATAACAAAACTGGTAATTGCTAGAATAATAAGTGCAAAAGTTAGCATTGCAATACCGCCGATAAAGATTCATGTTCGAAGTTGGTCTTTTCTTGCTTTACTTACAGTTTTGATCATAGTTGAGCCACTTCCGTCAGTTCTTCCAAATGTTAGTGGAAACCTTTGTTTTTGGCACATCTTGTCACTATAAACTGCAGCTTCACAGTTGCAATCTCTCAAGTAGTCCTCTCTACAAGCAGTCTCAGTAATGTTGAGAACAGAATATGGGGTGTGCTCTTACACAAAACCATCCATATCAGCAATGGAATATGTAATTCTATTCTCGTCCGGGCAACCAACAGTACTTACATTCCTCATGCAGCCTAAATCTCTTTGGCGTTGATCAATGAAAACAAAACCAGGAAGACAAACACAAGGTGGATCCTGATCAATGGGAACACAATATGTATTTAACCCACAGTGCCCTAGTGGAGCGCACTTATCATAAGATGATGACCACTGAACTGACCATGAATCGTTATGAATCAAAGAATGGGAGTATAACCGGAGTATACCATCAAAGTCAATCGTCATCCGGTACATACCCATATCAAACAGCTGGTTCTGATTCATATTGTTACATATTTTGTAATTGGTGGAATTGATGAGATATAGCTACCCATTGTGATCAAGGTTGAGAGACATTGTATCCAGCCCTGAATATCCCAGTATTCCAATAAGCATGATAAGGTTGTAATACAATCAGACCCTCCAGGTACTTCACTAGGTTCCCATCACGCTGCATCGAAAGTCTAAACATTCCGCTTGTATGATTTGTGTCCGAGATGCTGGAGACAATCTTGTTTCCAACTAGCAGTCGCTGGCTAGATGCAATGGTATCGGTTGAAGTATCAAAACTCTGCCAAATGATACAAATTTACTAGAATCGAGCATGGAAGCCGAGGTAGCAGGCTCATAAATGTTCGAAATGGTTGCTGGTACAACTTGGTTATCTGGCGACATGACCATTATTCCTTTACCACTCAAAAGTAGCTTTACATCATTAGAGAGTGGCAGCGAAGCATCGCGGTTTGCTGTCCATACGATTGTTTTCTGTTGGATTTTCGCATACTAGATGCCTACCGCCAACTTGTTGCCTTCGTTGTAAAATTTGAACGCAAACTAGCCCAAATTTGACAGCCAGTATGACTTGTTATCGGCATTTAGAGAAACACCAAGCCTAATGTTGCCGATTTCTTGCTGACCAATTGCAAAAGAAAATGCAGTAGTTTGCAGAAGAAAAAGAAAAAGCAGAATTGCAGACATTTCGTCTAAGTTTTTTGTGTGATTTCGGGGGGCTTAAGTTTTCCTAACGACTTTAATCCTGCGTATGTTTTTCAAGTTGAGAAAAAAGATATTTCATTCCATCAGGAAGTCAATATCCCAAGTGTCCAGAAAGTGTGGCAGCCATATTTGTTGCTGTTTCGCAACAAGAAATAATGTGTTTGGTCAAGGATGACTTTCTGAATCAAAAACTGATGACTGATGGAGGAGCATCAAGGAAAAAAGAAATGGCATTTTCTTTTATCAAAAGAGGAAGAAAATAAGGTCAAATGTGTTGAATAATAGGTGCCGTGTAGTTCATTGCTCTTCTGTTGAACAACAATCCAGGTTCTGAATTGGTCATATTCCACAATGTTTTTCTACACACAGAATTTCATGCAACATGGGGCATCAATATAAAAGAAATTACATGGATAATATTTACAAAGTTATTGACCAAAACATCACAATACATATAATATATACACACACTAAGCAATCCAAAGTCCAATATAACAAAGCATCAATAAACAAATTTGAAAGGATTATTAAAGTTAAATGTTTCAATAAAAAATATGAAACCCTAGCACTCAAGTAAGAGGTAGAGCAAAGGAGAAACCAAAAAATTTATAACCAAAAAATTTTATAA